CACAGTGCAAACATTTGAGTCAGTTTGTGACAACCATGCACTGTATATGTCAGAGATAGAAAGAACTGTTTGCTTGTACAGATGTGCATTCAGTATATGTATGTGTACATATATAATCACAAAACTGCAGTTGAAGTCAAGTTCAAGGGATTAAGCGTTCAGTGTTTTCTAGCACAGACAGGCATGAGAAGCCTTATGTAACCCTCCCTAGATCTATTTACAGTCTCTCAGGCTGGCTGCCTCTCTGGACGTCCTCCTGCACTCTTCTCTGGGTGTTTAAGTTGCACATTAACAGAAGAATAAAATCAGCACCAGGCATTCTTACATTCACAAAACCATCTCTACGCTCTCAAAAGGTACAAAACTGTCACTGGGGTGATACCCTACTAATATGTGCACTTCAGGTACTAATTTGTACTTTTAAAGTACTAATATATACCTTTTTATTGTTTAGGGGAAAATAAGGTAAAGTTTGTCCCTTTTTTCTGGGAATGTATGTAAACTATTGGTAAACCTAGCAGAACCTACTTAAAGGGATAACTTGTTCACCCTTAAAAATAAAAAATTCTGTCTGTTTTTTTTTTCTTCTGCAATTGCCAGTAACATTATCTTCCATAGTATGGAAAAAATGCTATGGAAGTCAATGTCTACCAGCTGTTTGGTCGGCAACATTCTTTAAAATATCTTCTTTTGTTTTCAATAGCAGAAAGAAACTCATACAGGTTTGGAACAACATTATGGTGAGTAAACGATGACAAAATATTTATTTTTGGGTGAACTATTCTTTTAAATATCCAAATTCATCTGCAGCATCCTGCAGATCTACTACAACCAGCCACTGTGGTGTCTGTTAGAAATGTTGGTACTGTAACACTTTACAATAAGGTCTCATTGACATTAGTCAAAGGGATAGTTCACCCACACATGAACATTCAGTCATTAATTACTCACCCTCATGTCGTTCCAAACCTGTAATACCTTTTTGATGAAATCTGAGAGCTTTCTGACCCTGCATAGACAGCAGCGCAATTGAAATTGTTGAATAAAGTCATTATAAATAAGTCGTTGTTTTTTGTGCACAAAAAGTATTCTCGTAGCTTCGTAAAATTACAGCTGAACCACTGATGTCACGTGGACTATTATACCAATGTCCTTACTACGTTTCTGGGTTTCATGACAGAATTTTCATTTTTGGGTAAACTATCCCTTTAATGCATTAGCTAAAATTAACTATCAATGAGCAATACATCCTTAAAGCATTTATTAGCTTCTGTTAATGTTAAAATGTATAAAAAAATTATTTATTTTATTTTAATTATTATTATACTAAGATTAATACATGCTGTAAATGTATTGTTCATTGTTCATGTTAATTGATACAGCTAACTAATGTTAATAATTGAAAACGTATTGTGCCAAAGGTTTAAACCAGCTACAATATTTGCAGCACCCAGAGGCTTTTTTTCAAACAACAGACTAAAGAGGTTTGTGAGCAGCTTTGGTGACAGGATGAGATGAAAACAAAGTCAAAACAAATACACAGACATCAGAGTTAATACAGAACACAATATTACATCTCTGCAATCATAAGCCCTGGAGTAATCTTTTAAATGGTTTTTACAAGGCTCTAGTGTATACTGATATTTCCTGCGATAACAGGAAGTAATTTGCTCAAACTCATAACACTCTCTAAGAAAGACAATCAGATTTTACACAAAAAAGAACATTCAAAAAGGAGATCAACTTCTATAAATGAAAAATGGTCTGACAAGAAAAGATCATATAAAATCAACATATGATAATCATTTCAGGACATGTTTAGAATAGTCGGGTAACAAGAGTATATTTACTGTACATGTATAGAAAAAAAATGACTGAAAACTATCAAAAATGTGCTCATTTTAAAAACCTGACAAGGCAAGAAAACCACATCAGGCCTCAACAATAAAGATGGCCCACTGGCCACAGATTTTAAGCTCCATTTCAGCCATTTGAGTCAGTGCTGCACTGCCAATGAAAATGTTAAATTCATTGATCATTGTGACGAGAGGGGCGGGGCCGAGAGCCGTGGGAACTGAGGGAGGCTGGTGGAGTAATTGATAATGAGCGACACCTGCACCACTCACCGGTCTCGAGTCCCACGGAGGAGCTCCAGAAGGATAAAAGGAGGAGCTACGACACTGAAAGACGAGAGAGGACCAGGCCTGGACTTTATTTTGTGTTCTGTGTGCTGCAGTCGTCCGCGAGGGGCTGCCGCTTTACTTTCATTTTGTGTTTGTTTATTTTATTAAAGTCTTTAAATGTTCGCCGGTTCCCGCCTCCTTCTTCCTGTGACTACGAACTGTGTTACATTGGTGCCGAAACCCGGGAGGAAGGAGGGACATGCTGTCAAAGAGCCTTCGCTGCTGAGGGGGGTCGCAGTGCTGAGGAGATCTGGAATGATGGAAGACGAGGTGGGACGGAGAGCTCGCTGCCACGCTCCTGGGTCGAGGAGGGGTGGCTGCCGTCCGAGAGGGAGCGGTGGAGTCGGCCCCATTCGCCAGGAGGTCAGAGCCTGCTGCCGTCCGCCATGATTGGGGAGGAGCAGGGAACGGGGGACTCGCTGCTGGCTGCCCTCAACAGGAGGAGCCATCGCCATCCGCCAGGAGGCAGAGGAGCGGTGGGCCGTCCACCAAAGATGTCCAGTACTATCGCATGGCATCGCGAGTGAGAGCCTCTCAGCCGGTTGAGGACCAAGCGGCAGTGTGTCCGGGATCCAGACCGATAATTTTTTTTCTTTTCCTCTCTCCCCTCTCTCATATCGGTCTCTCCTCATCCTTCCGTCTCCTTTTCTTTTGCCTCGTCTCTCTGTCCTTACCCCCAGGTACATCGCGGCCGCCGTGATCGGCTCCCCCGGAGGGAGGAGGGGGCGAGTAGAGCGCAGTCTCAGGAGTACCCCCCGGCCTGCGAGGGGCGCTGGGGGTATGTGACGAGAGGGGCGCGGCCGAGAGCCGTGGGAACGGAGCGAGGCCGGTGGAGTAATTGATAATGAGCGACACCTGCACCACTCACCGGTCTTGAGTCCCAAGGAGGAGCTCCGGAAGGATAAAAGGAGGAGCTACGACAGTGAAAGATGAGAGCGGACCAGGCCTGGACTTTATTTTGTGTTTTGTGTGCGGCAGTCGTCCATGAGGGGCTGCCGCTTTACTTTCATTTTGTGTTTGTTTATTTTATTAAATTATTTAAATGTTTGCCGGTTCCCGTCTCCTTCTTGCCGTGACTATGAACTGTTACATTGACATGCATGCAAGGTCAAAAAAACACTTTCATTGTCTTATAATATGCATTTATTTTTACCTTATTTGCTCAACGACTCTCAAACGATTCGCTCAACAATTCCCTTTTTCCAAACCCCTCCTTTGTGTGACGCTAATCTGCGGTGATTGGTCCGATTGGTCTCATTTTCATTTCATCATGAGCCTGTAATGCCTGATAAGCAGTGCTGCTTAGTGTACAGCGTTACCGGGGAAACAGCTATTTCACCACTCCAAAAGTGGCACCTAGTGGCAAAGAATGAATTTGCATTTTCATTCAGACCGACTCGAAAACCAAGTTTTCCCAGGTCTGTGCGCGTAACAAGTGGGTGGGCAATATGCTGATGTTTCATGTTGACGTCAACATGAAACTGCTTGGGATTCGTTTTGAAAACAACTCGTTTCAATGATTCAGAGTCAACTCTTTCTTTTGAGAGACAACAACATTATATACATGGTGCACTTTCAGATATAAAACTTTGCAGGATGTTTTCATTCACTGAGAGCTGTGTTACACACTGCATGAAAGGTAATTTTCAAAAATCCATAATAAGGGCACTTTAATACAATTTTGGGGTGTTTGTGAAAGACTGTATGTTCTTGATACTATGCATGTGCCAATACTTTGGTTTTTAGCATCTGGGGGGAAAAATGCAGCAAAAGCAGAAACAAGCAAGCGTTTTAGCACTCTAACACTCATGTCCTCACTTTCAAGTAGCGATTTGAAGAAGTTTTTTCCATTAAAACATCAGACCGAATCAATTTACACCAATAAGTCAAACACTTCAATGCTACTTGTGAATTAAAAAAAAAAAATCTAGGAAAGCTAAATCAATACAGTCGTTCACAATACTCTGCATGTTAACTTTTTTAACAGTATCAGAACATATTAACAGTATCAAACCCGAATACCATCATCAGTAGTCCTACTTATATGTACTTGAAAACTAAAACATAATAAAAGCATTACTGATGTGAAATCATAATGAAAACAATGTACTTCACTTTAACACTATATGTAAACAAAAGGTCAATAAAACCTAAAAAAAATATAACAACATAACATTATTAAACTCCTGGTCACAATGTGCAATGTAGACGTGTGAAGGCAAACATGTGATATGATGCACTCCCACAGACAAGTAGTAAAATTATCAACTTATTTTCACAGGACAGGTCACGTCCAAACCCATAATTCATTCATTTTTTCCATCGATAAGTCAATGATGAACTAAAGACCTGGTCATTTATTGCAACTTTCGATTAGTTTTTGTATAATTTTATGTGAACCTTTGGCTGGTTCCATCTTGTGAAGGGTGAAGACATGGAAATATTCAGCACACCGGCACCAACTTAACATGATGTATCATTTTAGGTAAATACATGAATGTGAGAATCACCAATAAATCATACACCAGACCATTCTGGCTCATAATTGGATGCATTTTCTGCATTGAGTTTTACTCCAAGTTAATATTTCAAGTAAACCGTAACTTTACACCATAATTCAAGACATTTTAACTGTAGTTAATCAAGGTCTAGGCCACCATTTACTTTCAGCCCAGCCAGTTGATAAGGTGCAACACCTTTGGCTCTATTTTAACCTTTTACCTGTTGCTTTTTTCCTAAATGAAACGCAGATGCATACAGGTGGACTTTATGTGGTGAAGGTGACGGAAAAAGAGCATGACGTGAATATTTGCTTACCCCATTCCTCCTCTGCCACGGGGTCCTCCACGACCACCTCTGTCAAACCCACCCGCTCCTCGACCTCCAAAGCCACTTCCACCTCCGCGCCCACGTCCACCTCTAGCATCCTGGCTATATCCACCATCCTGGCCACCATAGCCTCCTCCTCCACCACCACCACCACTCATTGTCGGGGCATCCTGGCTGTAGCCTAGAATAAAAATACAACACATTGAGATTGAAATACATAACATCTGCCTTAAACATTCCAGCCTTGTACTGCATTAGAACTTTGAAATAACTTTTTGAGTAGATATGTAGGACTTGTTGACACCATATAGTTTATCAGCTGATGTTTTCTAATTTATCTGTATTGGTCGATTGGAAGTATATTGACCAATGCTGGAGAACAAACTGTGCATGCTCATTTCCTCTACTTTTACATTTAGATTACATTTGTTGTCGTATAAAGGCTGGAATACACCACACGACTTTGACCCAGATTTTTATAGTTTGCATATTTGCGTTGACAGGTTTAACAGAAAATCACACAGTATATGATGGCCACAGACTCTTGTTTTTTTTTTCAGTCCATGATTCCATCCAGTCAGAAGATATTAAACATGGTTGATATTTTGAGCTGATTGTAGTACAAATTTTGTAACAAGATGCACATTTCTATGCGAGTTTGTGTTTAGAACGACTTGAAAATCTGGTAGTGTGAGATCCTCAAAGTCGGGAAGAGTACGATGCCTTGTGATTTATAATTGTTCCGATTGTAAAAGTTGTGTTATGTATCCAGTCTTAACGCTTACTTAAAGTATATCTTTAAAAACACTAATAATTTAATAGCACTCTTAAGGCTGGGACACACCAAGCCGACGGTCGGGTGTTGATGAGCGTTTGTTGGGATAGTTTGTTTGTTTGGTGTGTTCCACTCATCGGTTCTCGATGGGCTCACGTCAGGGGCAGTTTGCTCGATTCAACATGTTGAATCAGTGTTGGGGCCGTCGGCACGAGTGAGAACTGTGATTGGATGTTTAGTTTAGCGAAAGAGTCCGTGCAGGAGAATTAAAGCGAAAGTGATGAAAACTAGTAAGTAAATGAAGGCGGCACAGACACAAGGCTATTCTAATGTTACGTGATCTTTCACAAGCATTCCAATATGCGAATATTTTCATAACATGAGCCGCTTGAAATTATGACAGTTATCAATGTTACTGATATTCAAAATGATAACCAAGTGCTGCTTCGTATATCTGTGTTTATTTTGTATATCTTTGTTTCGTTTTCTCCTTTTTCTCCTCCGAATATTTACTATTGATAGCTGCTGATATAGACAGCTAACTCCTCTCACGCAGGTGCAGAACGCATATGTTAGTTTGCAGTTGTCTGTAGTTTGAGCGGTGTGTGCAAGTGCAGCTTTTTGGTCCCATGCCACCGACAACACCGTCAGCTTTCGTCGCCACTAGTTCTTTGAAGTCGGCTTGGTGTGTCCCAGCCTTTAAAGGTAAAATTCACCCAAGAATGAAAACTCTGTGTGAAAACTACAGAACTGTAATATTTCTTTGGAAATTCTTTTTTTGGTCGTTTGTTTTTTTCTATTTAATAGTCAATAAGGTTTGTGCTTAGAATTACTTTAATTCTACAACATAAACAAATTAAGCAAATATTTAAGCCAAGTCGAGTTGCTTGTTAAGTTTCTAAAAAAGAAATATGCCAATTATATTCTTAAGTTTTGAACTACAAACTGAACAGCTCTATTTCCCATTACCATCAAATTCTATATGACAACGATTCTATATGCCGAATGAATCTCTCAAGCTCACCTCCCTGTCCATACTGATTTTGTTGCCCATAGTTTTGAGCTGGAGGAGAGCTGTAGTTGGGAGATTGGTTGTAAGGCCCTCCTCCATGCTGAGAGGACTGGTGTTGCCCCCCGCTACCCCCGTATCCACTGCTCTGTCCTCCACTGCCCCCGTATCCTCCAGACTGACCCCCACCCTGCTGCTGCTGCTGACCGTAGCCAGATGACTGCGAGCTGCTGCCATAGCTGCTGAAACACAAAATGGGTTTAACATATTCTACTCAATATCATCACATTCTGTTCACTAAAAAAACATTGAGCACAAGTATTATCTTTAACAAAACTAGCTTTAGACACATTGTCATCCAGCTGAAATCTCACCTAGAGGCAGATGGAGGAGCAGACTGCTGCTGGTTATAGTTCGAATAAGAGGATTGCTGGTTGTAGCCTCCACTTTGAGCTGGAGGAGGCTGGCTGCTGTTACTGTAGCCTCCAGAGCTGTATGACTGACTGGACTGATTATAGCCCTGAGAGGGCGGCTGAGACCCATATCCTCCTATAAACCGACAAGGATTTAAATATGATAGCAAAAGATGGCCTATTCACAATATTTTCAGTTTAATTAGAGGCATTAAAGAATAATACCTGATTGGGACTGTCCATAGCTGGAACTATATCCACCCTGATTATTAGCAGAGCTGCTCTCTGAGTTTTGGTTGTATCCTCCATAACTCTGCTGGCTGTAATTTTGGCCGGAGGGTTGACTGTAACTCTGGTTGGACTGTCCTCCATAACCACCGTAACTGGGCACAACACAATGAAATTATTATTTTAATCATAAACGTGAGCAATCGTTAAATATTATGATAACACTTTGGGAAGGAGGCTTTAAACTCACCCATGGCTTGAGGTTTGGGCATAATCTAAAGGGAAAAGACAACGTTCATTATAGATGGTGGCTGTTTTTGGTAATTTACAAGTATTTGCAAGATCAAAAATCAGTCTACGCTGGCCTTAGGAAGATTATAGTTCACAACAAAATGAATTGTCATTATTTATTCCCCCATGTCATTCTAAACCTATATGGCCGTCTTCTGTGAAACACAAATAAGATGTTTGTTTGTTTATTTGTTTTTTGGTCCATACAACAGGTCAATGGTAACAGATTTTTTTGGCTTAACTACCGTTATCCCCTTAATACAAGTAAACAAGCTCACGTTTCTTAAAAGAATAACCGTCTCACTCACATAATTCATTAATGGTAATGGAAGCGTTTCAGTTTTGTCGCGTCAAGTGTATATGGGGTGTGGAGAACGCCAGATAGACCTAATTAATCATATTTAACATTATTCATTTATTGAAACTGAATTTAAATCGATGTAACGTTACAGTGGGTTCGGTGCAAATATAGGTCAGCAGAACAAGCCAGCTAAAACTGAAAGCGCTGCAAACAAAATGGCGGAAGCCGACATGTTCTTCGTTTTTCTTTTTCACAAATTAAACCATAAATGTATCAAATACGTCTATCGCTTGTGTAACATGTGCATAACACCACTAAATGTCCTCACCACGCGCGAGTGACCCAAAAAGAAGATTTGCGGAAAATTGCGAGGTGCGTTTTGCATCAGATGCTGTGTTTAGGCAATGCCAATAGCGACTATAATAAAACGCGAAATCATATTGCGCTGAACAAATCTTACCATTTGACGCCATAATCGCGCTTGAAATCGTGTTAGAAGCTTATGCAGAAGACCTGTTTGAGCGATGTTGCACAGTCACCTTCGGTTCCCAACATTAACTGCGCGGAGGCTGAGACGCTGTTGTGTCGGTTTGAGCCTGTAGCCTGCGGTGATGTCACACTGCCGTCCATTCAGCTTTTGGATGTTTACAGAACACATGATAAATCTCATTTTTTTACATGCAAAATTTCATATTCACAAACGTAAGTTCTCATGCACAAAAAATAGTTTTTTTTCTTTTAGGAAGGAAATGGAGCATTATATTGATACTATACGATTTTCTATGAAACAAAAAGCAATTAAAACGGTGAAAGTTTGTAAACGCTTTGATATTTTTATATAAATTTGTATTTGTATACAGCCCCTCTAGTATGAAATTGTTTATTTCATGTATAATGTTTATTGTTTATATCATGTATAGTGTTTGTCATGTGTATTTTGATCTTGTTAATAAAATAAAAAAATGTTTACAGAACATTTAGACTAACATTATACAGTAAACGCGTGCAATTACACATTTAAAACCACTTGAAATCCAGACTTAAAGATGAAATATGTGTAAGAAAGTAACCCTATATGGTATGCATTATGTTCTATCCATGAATTTTTTTTTATTTTCAAAATAAATTTTTATTACATGAAATAGTTTCAATTATACAAATCAAAACCGTTTTTGGGGGGTGTTTAGGATAACGTTGCCATATGGCAACAGTGTCGGCCTACCACAATGGGAAATGGCCAAAAAAGTAGTTTTTCTATTAAATTATGATTTTTATTTTTATTTGAAATGCACATTTCTTTTAGAAATTGATGCATCCGATCTTAATTTCCATCCGAATCTGCCACACACACACACACACACACAGACAGACAGATACACACTCACACAAACACTCATCGTTACAGTCCACGAAGGCTAACTCATCCTCATTGTCATCATATGGAAGAGCCAACTCTGCACTCTTCCTATTGCCCTTTCCGTGAAATATTGCTCTATTCATTTTCTGAAAAGAATAAATAATTTTCTTATTCATACATAAATACTTCAATAAACACTTCAAATAAATAAATAACTGCAATCATTACAGTAAAACTATGTTAAACAATGTTGATTTGTGAATAAAAATTACTTACCAAGATGATGCAAAAAAATATATAAAAAATCCACCCTTGAGAAGAGATGTTCAGAAATGAGTTTAACGGAGCAATTTCTGGAGCACTTCAAACAGGTGTCCTCCATGTGAGAGTGACAGTGGGAAAAAGTGTTTTGGAGGAACATGCAAATGTCATTTGACTTAAAAACAGCACATCATTGACTACCTTAAGGCCAGCCCTTTTAATTACCATATTGCAATATATATATATTTTTTTTCAGAATAACAAGGAAATAAGTAGAAATTAATTGTTGCCATATGGCAACTCTGTACCTTAGAGGGTTAAATCTTTAGGTATGTGTGAGTCCCAAAAGCACTTTGCAATGGCTACAACTGTGCATCCTAAAAATAATAAACATCAATAAATAAAAACACAGCAAAAGGGAGAACACAGGTGGCATTCTAATTTAATATAAATCCTAGAATTATTTAAGAAGTTACAATACTGTTACTGAATGCATGAGTGAAAGCAATGGAACACACAAAGCTGTAATGTGCAATATTATGACTTATGCAATCAAATCAATTTGATTTTTCATTACAAATAATCAATACAAGAAATACAAAATTATATTGTATTTATCCTGTTAAAGAGAATATTGGCATTTTACAGTGTTCTGAGGTCTTGGTGACATTACTGCATAACTGCATAAAATAAATCTAATTCACAGTAACAACAGTATATAGATCTGTGCTTAGGAATGATCAGATAGCCAGATCTCTCCATCATAAACATGTCACATATTACATTATTATTTAAAAAAAATTATAATTTTCAATACCTCTGAAGCTTTGCACTGGGTACATTTTGTGCCCCACAAAAGCATTCCAAACATGGCAAATCAATGCCACACAAACAAAACTTGTGGTGTTTCAAAACTTGACTTTGTGTTTCACATGTACATTGCATATACTTAACTAATATACTATCTCCACAAAAGTACTAAAGCAAAAGAGAGGCCTAGAACCAGAAGCATTTGACTTTCACTCTTCTGAGCGTGACCGAAAAAGTGAGCTTCTGGAACTGTGGTGCGGATGAGGCTCGCAAAGCTTGAGACTCTGGAATAAATACCTGGCCGGTTCTTCTGAGCACACCCAAGTCCAAAACTTACAACTCCCACTTGAATCCAAGTCCCACTGCCACCAGAACAAACCAGAGGGCCTCCAGAGTCCCCCTGTAAGGGACAAAAAAAATTCTACATGGTAGGATAAGTCAGTACAATGGCTGTGTGCTAGTATCACATACCTGACAGGAATCCTTGCCTCCCTCCTTGTATCCAGCACAGATCATGTCTGATAAGATGTTGACTGTTATTAAATCAGATGACAAAATCTGATACATTGACTGGCAGGAGGACTGGTTGATAATGGGCGCCTGCACTTCCCGTAGCGCCCCGACTCCCCCGAGGGAAACTATTTAAAGAAAAAACAGAGCAAATGCGAAATACAAATAATTACCAAATGTCCAAAACATTGTTAAACTAACATAACATAAAATAGGGAATAGATCTGTGATAAGTTAGAAGGCTTTGTCTGGACATTGCTTTTTCTTTTGTTGAATGATCGCTATATCATATACTGTATATATTTGCTACTGACAGAAAGCAGTCTTATCTTTTATCTATCAAGAAATTTATCTTTATCACAATTTGTCTACGTGTACTGCGTTAAGCTAACTGAGACTTGTTATAGCACTTGTATATCATATTGCTCTTTTGTTGATTTTGATTGCTTCCATTGTCCTCATTTGTAAGTCGCTTTGGATAAAAGCGTCTGCTAAATGTCTAAATGTAAATGTAATGTAATGTAAATCTATCATTTCCATGTCAAATCATTTTGATCTTTTTCCATGCAGCAGCAATGGGTTATTTGCATAAATGCAAGGCATCAGGAAACCTTTTTTCCTCTATGGAGGACAATAAATAAATCTTCTGGATCTTATATTATGCTCTGGATTGATTTCAGAGATGTTAGAAATACTGGATAACTTATGTTTTTCTTGAAATTGTGTCTTTTTCTCATTCAGGGCCCTGAACATGCTTGCAAGGTGTCGGACACTCTGACGTGTTGTCGAATATACTGTTCATACAAAATTTCTATTACGATTAGGATGTTTGAGGGTCAATTTGACCTGCCTATTTCATCCTTGAAGGCAGCTGTATAGACAGTAAATAGAAACGTTTTTATGTATTTCGTAATGTCAGCGGCTCAACTACCTTCTGAGGATATTTACATTTATACATATGGCAGCTGAAGAAACTTGCACGATACATTTTTATCAGTTAATGTGTGTTCAGTTAGCTGGAAACTGAACCCATGATTTTGGTGTTGCCAACAACATGCTCTACTGTTTGAGCTCCAGGAAGAGACACAGAAATGTTTTAAAGGGGTGGTTCACTGGGTTTTTCTAGGATTGATTGTGTTTATGGAGTGCAGTCTAACATGTGTTAATGCTTCGTAAAAAAAAAAAAAAAAACGCATTATTTTTCACATAATTTACCTTTATTCTACACCGCTCTGTCCCTTCTCTGAGAAACGGGCTGATCTTTTCCTGTTTTTATGAAGCCCTGCTCTCAGAAATAGGCAATGGGCTCTGATTGGTTAGCTAGCCCAGTGTGTTGTGATTGGCTAAACCGCCTAGTGCGTGTCTAAATGTCCCGCCCCTCACCTCGGGCGGCATGTGCTCCGGTTGTATTGTAAACAACGGCATCGTTAATATCAGTTTGAGCCCGATTTAGAAGCAGAGGATATTATTGAAGAGGATCGTGCAGAACCTGTACAAGCATGGCTTTTAATGGTAGGCCTATGTTTTTTGTTGTTGTTGTCTCATAATTTTAGATATGCTGATATTTGTAAATGCTACTGCTAATGTTAGCTTTTAATGTTTGGTTTTATCCTGATTAAAGCTTTAATACAGTACGGCAACTGCACGCGCGTCCATGTTTAATGCTTCTCATAGCTATGTGAAAATAAGTGTATAATTGTAACAGTACATTGCTGGAGCTGAGCTGAATGGGAGAGAGAGAGAGAGAGAGAGAGAGAGAGAGAGAGAGAGAGAGAGAGAGAGAGAGAGAGAGCGGGGGATCGCGATTCATATATGAACAGATTTTTACGTGCAGCTCTAGTTTTCTCTTCCTCTTCTCTAAAGCAGCACAGCATGGCCTCGCCCCCTTTGCTGCCTTTTCCCGAGGGCGGGGTTTATCTGGGTGTGTGATGTCACGAACCCGGGAAGTAACTTGTTGTAGTCCCTACCAGCTGATTTTGTAGGCATTAAACTGGCAGAATTTTAAAAGCCGATATCTCCGTTTGCATTGAACTTTCAGCTTCGTAATATTGCAGATGTTGTTTATGCTCAAACAGCAACATTACACACTAACTAACGTTAAAAGAGTGAAATCGCAATGAACCACCCCTTTAAAACAGTTACAATACTGTTTATAATATTTATATTTTATGAAAAAAAAGTACAAATTATTTCTAAATACAGTTTTAAAGACTACAGTTTTTTTTTCGTAATAGGTGAGAAGTATTATTGTTCAAGGTTTGCTGTTTTTTTTTGTTTTTTTTTTGTAGATTTTTTGTTTAGTTTGATTTTCATTTTTGGTCAGTTTGTCCCAACCCTAAAGATCTTCACCAGATTTGGACCTACTGTTATACAAGTAGAAAAAAAAATCAATAGTTCAGTGAAATAAATGTGCTCTACTCGTTCCTCTTGCTTTTTAACTATTTCTCCTCCTCCTACCACTATAGAAATGAAATGGAAATCCACTGCAAAGAAAGAAATCCACATCCTTTGGCATGACTTGAAACAGTAAAATCGGTTAATTTCCCCTAATTTCTTTTATGATGCACTTACCACCCTCCTGAGTGTGTCCCCAGCCCGTGACGTAGCATAAGGTTCCACTGTTAAACTGGAATCCAGCATATGGCAGACACACAGGCTGGATCCTGTCTGACCAGGTGACCGG